TTTCTGAAAGAGCTTAAAATTACTCAGCACTAGTGACTTGTGGTCAAATTCATTCCCCGCATACAAACATTAACATGCCTGTATACAAGCCATTTATTTTTATACCCCTCAGCCATTTCTATTCACGCTGAATGGGTATAATGAGTGCCCTGTGGTATCTGACAAGTTATTCAGTTTCTCATTAGTAGTGATATCCCTCTAGACTCTAGTTGTATTTTATCCACATACCTCCATCAATATTCACCATCATAATTACCAGGTTCATGAAATAAGAATCAAATGATCGAAAGCAATAGGCCTATCTATATTTTTTCAGATTTTTTAATAGAAAAAGTACAATTTATTATTCACAATAAGTATACTTTGGAGGGTTGTTGCTATTACAATTGATGAAATAATACACACTTTATCTCTAAAATCAGTGTTAGAAATAGTAAAATTAATACAACTATTACTTTAGTCACAATGTTAAACAGAAATGAACTGAGATTGCATTTTTCAGTGTCTTTCTCTCTCACGCACACACATCAACTTCAGTGCATCTGATTGTCCATCAGTATGTTGTTCTTCTTTTTCTCCACATACTTGGAAATCTGGGTCTACAACTTTCTTCTCTTCCATAAATTAAGATAAGATCCAAATAAAGTCAAGAATAAAATAGAATTAAATAACACAAAAGTAAAAAAGGACAGGAAGAAATGACCAAAGTAATAAAAATATTTAAGAAGGAGTTTTCACTTACCATTTTAGACTGATGGAGTGATCCTGATGTAGGTTTAAATCAGGGCTAAAACATCGCCAGGCAGGGTGTAATAGATTATCTCCAGACGTAAGTGATGAATTGGAATTTAATATCTTCATTTAAAAAGGCCTTGAAGGATCAAAAGGCAACTGTTGTGTTAGGAACTTATTTATTTCATAGAATCATAGAATCAATGAGTGGGAAGGGACCTAGAGAGGTAATCCAGTCTGACCCCTGCCATGGGCAGGAATGAGCACTGGGGGTGGGAGGGGTCATAAGACCCCAGCCAGGTGCTTATCTCTGGGTCTTTTCTCTTCCTCTCAGCATCCATTATATATGAAAGAATTCTCTTTTCTTTCTTGATGATGGCATCTTCCATTGGTTTGTTGACCTCTTCATAAATTTATCAAGGGTATAAGTAGGTTTTCCATGACATCAAAAGTTTTAAACCTACTCTGATATTTTAGGCAGTAAAAATACATGAGGAATGAGGTGGAATTGCATTTATTTAAAAAATATTTTTCTATATTGCATAAAAATGCCATCAACTTCACATCTGTGGCCTTAATAAAGGATAGCTGGGTCATCTGATATTCTCCTACACACTTTAATATTTCTGGATATTTCTGATGCATGAGGTGCACAAACCCATGCATATGTCAAGCTGGGAAGATCCACAAAAGGATAAATGCAGGAAACTACAAAAAGTCAGATGCAATCTACTTAAAACGGACTTAAAAATGCAAGGTATAACAGAAGTAGACAGAGGAAGATATGAAACCTTCATTTGCTTTTCTAGACTACATTAATGTAAAATTTGTAAAGAAATCTATTTGATATAATTTAAACATAAATCCATCAATCTTCAAAAGATTTTAATGTTTTGATGAGAACTTACAGGAGACAGCTCACTTTCTTTTGGGAGCCACGCAGCTGTTGCCAATGACATCAGAAAAATAGAATAAGTAGAATTTCCTAGAACTTATGCAGGGTTTCTTTATCTACATATTTCAAAGGGCTTTACAAACATCAAAGTACTGTTATCTTCTTTTATAAATACACGGACATGGAGATAGTAAGGGATCAAGCTACTTGTCCACCCTTACTACCAATGAATTAGTAACAGAACTAGGAAGACAACTTAGTAAGGGATCTGAACTTGTCCACCCTTACTACCAATGAATTAGTAACAGAACTAGGAAGACAACTTAGGTTTTCTGGCTCCCAGTTTTTTGTCTTAGCTACTAAATAGCATTTCAGTGCTGGATCAAGCAGCAGAAGAATCTGCTGCTGATCTCACTGAATGAGATCATTATCCATCAAAGCCATTAAAGTATGCTTATATACTTTGCTGAACCTCAGTCTACCAATATAAATGTATTCAATAGGAACAATGAAAACCTTAGAAACATACTGGCCAGAGGGCTGTGCAAAATTTTGCCCAGTGCTTTGTTTCAATGCGTTTTGAGCTCAAAATGGTGAAATCAAAATGAAACAAAAGCCTTTGAAACAGTTTGAAATGAAACAGGGGCACAAGTTGATGGAGAGGAGGTATAGATTGGACATCCGCAAAAACTACTTCACAGTTAGGGCGGCTAGGAGCTGGAACCAACTTCCAAGGGAAGTGGTGCTGGCCCCTACCCTGGGGGTCTTTAAGAAGAGGCTGGATGCCTACCTGGCTGGACTCATTTGAGTCCCGTTTCTTGTTTTGGGGTTTTGTTGTTCTCCCGCCTTGGCGGGGGGTCAGGCTAGAAGATCTACTAGGTCCCTTCCGACCCTAAATCTATGAAACTATGAAACATTTCAAAAGTTCTGAAACATTTTGAGTTTCAAAGCCAGGCTTACCTGGCTTCAGCCCACACCCCTAGGGACAGTCTGGCACAGCCCCTGCAGACCTCCCAGGGGTTCGGGCGAGCCCCCAATCTGCCTGCCAGATGACAGGAGGCTGGTGCTGCCAGCTGGGACCAGCGGTGGGTGCAGCCCGTGCCAGGAAGATCGGTGCTGCTGCTGGCCCCAGCCGATCTTCCTGGGGCTGGGTGCGGAATAGCCTATGGGTGAAATGTTGAAACAGGATCAAAACAGTGAAACAGTTTCAATGAAATGAAATAAAACAGTGCTTTCAAAACAAAACAAAACTCGAAACGAAACACTGTTCCGTTGAAATGTCAAAATGGAAGTCGAAGAGGAATGATGCTGTTTTGCACGGCCCTACTGGCCAGGTAAATTCTTTTATACAATTTTTTTTTAAGTTTGATTCATTGTTAAAAAACACTGTATTAAGATATTAAGGTCCTGATACTGCAAGGTCTTTACATAGCCAGACTTTAACATTTATATGGAATACCAGTGATACCAACAGTATCTATGTATGGCATCCCAATAGCTTTCATCACCATGATAACTAAGATAAAGATGCTCAGCTTTCATTGATGATGTGTTTCCATTCATGGGACCTATGCCAGCTTACACCAAAACATCCTGGCCAATTGATGTCAACAGGAGCATTGCCATCAGCACCAACAAGGCCTCCAAAAAAGGATCTGCCCCAGAGAAGTAATCTATGGGTCTCTCATGTCTACTTTATAAACATTTCTTAATGAACATTTCTTAATTCACGCTGTGGCCTCATTATTTATTAAAAAGCACTTCATTCAAGATAATTTACCTCTTCTGTCAAGAAATGTCATTCTTAACCTCAAGGTAATTATTCCTATTTAAATTTCAGCAGGCCCATGTGTTAATGCTTTGTTCATTATGTGCAAATTCTTCAATTCAAATATCAAGTATTTTATCGTAGTTTTTGCATAAGATGGAAACATGATAATATGCAGCAAGACTGAATGAAATGTGTGAATTTTCCCATTCTATTTTTTTAATCTCCAGGTGGCCCCTGGAACTGATAGCATTTTTTGTAGTCTATTCCTACTTTAATTATCTTGATTAGCCAATAGCATGTTTCAAAGATGCATTTGTGACAGGTAATATTATATGATAGCATTTAATTGTGTTTTGAAATGTAGAGCCAGGTAACTGATTAGGCCATAATTTAAAGATCCTAGTAGAAGACAAACTGATAGAAGTTATGACATAACTAGAGATTGTGGGCCTGACACATTTCATATCTGTTCACACAAGTGAAACAACCTCAAACTCAGTGGAATTATGAATATGAATGGGATCGGAGTCAAACTGTATTCAAAGTGGATTTCATGAATGTTTATCAATAGGTGGATTAACAGAATTTGCAGAAAAATGCAGGAACTCTTAGACATCTTTGGGAAAAAGTGGTGCAGAAAATGAACTGAACTAATACCTTCTAGTGGGAAGAATTTGATTAACAGTCTGTTTTGGAATTAAACAATGATAATTTGTGATGGAGATGACTTACCAGCTCCTGAACCCTGGTTCAGCATTGCACAGTGCTTGGAATTGCAAAAGATTGGGCCTTGCTTTTGCAGAGCCACTTTTTGCCTTACTTTCACACTTACAGTGAAAGGGAGGCATATGCTTAACCATTATCTTTCAGGGGCTATTGTTAGGAAATTTAAAGTTAGAGTACCTTTAAACTAATTCCATTTTATGTTGGGAATGGGATTGTAATCCAGGACAAGGGAGACAAAATAATGGTTTAGCACCATCGTTGCTCTTTCTGAACTGTCTCAATATGCAATCTAGGATCTGAACTCATGTCTGAAAAGCAGAATACTTTTCAAAGATTAAGGCATAGACAGGAAAGCACAACTATTCAATGTGCAGCATTTTCCTGGACACTATTTTTCAGCTACAGAAAAAGAAATTATTGGCCATTTAATTCCAAATGATAACTTATCCATGGCCACTCTAATACATGGAATATGTATTTCAGATGTTTTTAAAATCTTTATATTTTGCATTTTTCTGTCCTTTGCTTACAGACTCGCATACTACTATGGGATGCATAAGGTTATTCATATTATCACAGAATTCATGTCAGGTACTTCAGTTCAACAGATTGTACAAATTCTCTCTCAGCATTCCAGCTACCACATGATGCCAATAAAATTATTTTTATATAAGGCCTCATACTCCTCTTGCCAAACTCTGGGATTTTTATTGTGCAAAATTCCCAGAGAGGTCAAAGAAAGATTTGCTTGAATAATGCTCACAGAACTTGGCTCCATAATTTTGGCCTGTTCTGCAAAACTATCATTTTAAAATGTTTCCAAAGTGGAATTTTGAAGCTATGCTTTGTGAAGGAAAGGTTTCATGCAATACTTACGGGATCCCTTTTTACAAGGCCTGGATTAGGCACTACCACAATAAGATGGGCGATTGTAAACACAGAGTTAAGCACATAAGAGAAAAATAAATTCTTATGCAGTGTTATCCTTTGACAGCTGAGGCTCCTGAAAAATATGTAGCACAAGTTGTAAATTAGTGTTTTTATTCTGATGTCACTTTAATGTGCACATTCTGGCAACTATTTCTCAAGAATGCCATTTGGCAAGAGGTAGTCGGAAAACACATGCCTAGCATTACAGCCATGAGACGCAACAATTTTTTGTTTCCCTACTTACACCTGTTTAGAACCACCTGCTTCCCAGACCATATTGTAAAGGCCTATTGGCTCAAATTCTGAACTGTAGAAGGTTGTTTTGTTGGGTTTTTTTCCCACAGGAACAGAACTGTTAAGTAGTGAAGCAGAACCCTGATAATTATTTCAGATGTGCATGAACACAAATGTTGAATGGCAGGAATGCTGCATTTGCTCTCCAAAAGTTAAATATCTCAAATATTCGGATCAAAATTATTTGATGCTTTTGGCATTAGTGATGAGTCAGAATGGGAATCTTGAACTGGAATCTCCTTAATTTTCAGGGAGATTTAGTTTTGCATCCTGCATGCTTTTTATTCCAGCATATCTCCTAAGCCAGAAAGAGACACATTTTCCTGTTCAGATGTGGTCAAAATCTTAAGTAAATTGCTGATTAATTTTTTAGGCTTTCTAACTCTTGAGGTAAAAATCCCAAAAGAATAACTCAAAAAATGTCTGTGTTCTTGAATCATTACCCTAACCATGATTTTAGCTTCAAGCCTGATCTCTAGCTTAAATCTAATGTATATCTGAATCCAACCACCAGCACCTCAGATCACCTGTACTGCAAAGATGTTGAGGGATAGAGAAAATGTGGAATATTTTTCAACAAGAACACCTGGTACATACCTTATTGTAGCTGAACCAACCCTTCCCTATGTGCTAGCAGCCTTTAGTAGCTTGAACTTAATGTAAGCCAGCATTTTAACTTCGCTGCTGTCTGTGCTGTATGTATGTACACATGCAAGAGGCAAGGATTTCTTAGGGTGATATCTTTTATTGGACCAACTGTGTAGCAGAGGTAGACAAACTTTCAAATGCAAGACATGCTTTGTTAGGTCTGACCAGAAGATCCAAGCACAGCATAGTAAAGGACAGTAGTGGGAAGGGCTGAGAGAAATTCCCAGGGGTAGCAGACACACAGGGGATTTATACATGCTCTGTAGGAGGAGTGGGTGTACTTTAATTAGAGCAGCTTTTAGAGCTCTTGGAGCTGCTCTAATTAAAGCACCCACAACATCTCATGTAACAGCATCCCCACCAGAGGAAGACTAAGGTGGTATTGGGCCCCTGAGCAAACACAAAATTGGATGTCCCCTTCACCCATAGGAACTGAGCTGCAGGGGTGGGGAGAGTGGTCCCTCTGCCTCCTGGTGCTGGCAGGGGAGGCTGGGTGGACCCTGCCAGGCTGAGGGTATGGGGGCACTGCCTGCCTCTTCTACCTGACCCATGCCCCACCTCTCCTGCTATGGTTGAACGTACACACACACGTGCACACACAGACAGGTGTACACTCTACTCTCACTCTGCACATTGACACACAGATGCAAACACACTCTCCCTGCCATGAATGAACACACACAGACAGACAGACAGACACATACTTTCCCCTCACAGGATGTCCTTCCTTCCCCACTCAACTACTCTGAGGCAGCCCCCCCATGGATCCATCTAGCTCCCTGCCCTGGCCCCTATTAGACTTACCTGCAGGGAGCTGTTGCCCAGCTGTCGTGTGTGGCTGCACAGATGCACAGGGTTGGGCCAGGAGTGCTGCTCTGCACCGCACCACACCGTGCCTCTGAGTGGGTGGTGGTGGTGCTGGGACGGGTGGCTATGGGGAGGCTAAGATGAATTTTGTGGGGGCTATAGCCCCCCAAGCCCTCCCCCAGCACCACTGCCCACCCACCTGCATAGGTACACTGCAGTGCTCCTGGCCCTTCCTGGCCCTGGTCATCCCCTGCCAGGGAAGGTGCAGCATTCCCAGCCTGCCCCCTGCCCCCCAAGCTTCCTTGGTGGAGGGGCCATGCTTCCAGCTCCCAGGGTAGTAAATGCAAAAGCTGTGATTTTAAACTTGACACCATTTTTCTAACTCCCCAGGAGGGAGACAAAAATGGTGCTGAGTTTAAAACCACAGCTTTTGCTTCCCTGCTGAGGATCCAATTTGGGGCACCAAATTGGTAGTGGCCTCTGAGCCCAGGCCCAGCTGGCCCATTTTTTAATGTGCCTATGGTCCCTGTGCTTAAAAATGGCGGCTGGGGCACTTTATCTAAAGCTTGCTGAATGAGCTTTAGATAAAGTGCCCCTGCTGCCATTTTTAAGCACAGGGATACTGATACATGAGACACTGGAGGCTACTGGAGCATGGTAATTACCACATTCCAGCAGAGTTGATTAATCAAGTCTGCTCTGACATATTGGAGCAGCCTCGTTGCTAATGTATAGGTGCTCACAATTAATGGAAGAAAAGAAGCTGATTAGTAGGAGATCAAGGCCTATCAAAAGGGGGAAGGGTCATTCTCATATTTCTTGTATGGAAAGAATTTAGGAGTTGGATAAAATACAATGTGCTATAAAACCAGTAACAATGTTTAGTCCTTGGTTCTTAGTGTCCAGCCATCTTATGAATTTTTGTCTACAAGTTCACCTTTTAAAGGTGTTCCCTTGGGCATGAGGATAGTGAAGTCAAAGGTGGAATGGTTGTTCTGTGAGAAATGTGATGCTAATGAGATGTGTTTCTGTCCTTTATATATTTTATGCAGTGTCCCCTCTCCATTCTCATCTACCCATTCTCCTACTAGCACAAATCTAAGTATCATATCTGTATCAGCTTGTCTCCTCTGGTGACATTTTCCCCCTCATGCTTGCCTTTTTACCACTTCCACCTTCACTTCAGCACCAACTCTGTACCTCTTGTGCCACTAGTCCCAACCTCATGCACTTCACCAATCTCTCCTCCTCTTTCTGTCTCTGGAACCCATATTCCCTCCTTAAAATGACTGGAGCCATCTCTGTTCTCTTAGTATTTCATTCCTGCAAACTCTTAGCTCTCAGGGGGCATGTTTACATGTGCGTATTTACTGCACAGTAACCAAAATTACTGTGCAGTCTGGGCTACATCTACACATGCACTCCTGTATTGCACAGTAAATATGGTGACTTACACCAGCTTGAGCATAAATTTGATACCTGCATCCTGCAGGTATCAAATTTATGCCCAATTAGCTACAGTGCAGTAACACACGTGTTGGCACCTTACTGAGCAGAAACACTGTGTAGGACTTTAGTCCCAAGTCAGTCCACACACGGCGTTAATGTGCTTTAACACCTGCACATGTAGACACTGGCCTATTCCTGCTTATTGTGCAGCAGCTCACTGCAGAGTAAATTTAAGCCAGCGTAAATGCATATGTAGACATGCCCAGAGAGACCTAGACCTCTTTGGCTGGCACTACTTTGACAGCTGCGTTTTTATGGAGACCTCATCTTCTCTGACATTCTGGATCATACCATTTGTGTGTGATGACGTTAGGCTCCTCTTCTTCCATTCTTGGTGCTTCCAACCCTTTCCTACTTGCACATTTCAGCTTTGCTTCTTTTCTGAACTCTTTTCATCACATATTACTGTCATCCACCATCCACCCATTTCTCCACATGGGCCTTCTTTCCTAATTTTGACTCTTGTCTGTTTCTTCTCTCCTCCTCACAGTATTCCACAATCATTCTCAATTACTTCATCTTCCACGTTGATGACCCAAGCTGCTGTGTATTTCTTCACATTCACCATTTCATTTGACTACTACTGTCTGCCCTTTTTAACTTCGTTTTCATAGTTTCATAGTTTCCAGGGTCGGAAGGGACCTGAGTAGATCATCTAGTCTGACCCCCTGCCATGGCAGGAAAGATTACTGGGGTCAAACAACCCTAGCAAGGTGTTCATCTAACCTCCTCTTAAAGACCCCCAGGGTAGGAGCCAGCACCACTTCTCTTGGAAGTTGGTTCCAGATCCTAGCCGCCCTGACTGTGAAGTAGCACCTCCTGATATCTAGCCTAAATCTACCCTCTACCAGCTTGTGACCATTATTCCTGGTCACTCCTGGCAGTGCTCGGGGGAACAGGGACTTCCCCAGTGCCTGCTGGTCTCCCCTGACTAGTTTGTAACAGGCCACTAGATCCCCCCTCAGTCTTCTGTTCTGGAGGCTGAACAGGTTCAGGTTCCATAGCCTTTCCTCATACGGCCTGCCCTGCTGTCCCCTGATCATACGAGTGGCCCGTCTCTGGACCCTCTCCATGTTGTCCACATCCCTCTTGAAGTGCGGCGCCCAGAACTGGACGCAGTACTCCAGCTGCGGCCTGACCAGTG